ACTTTCCAATAAGTTATGCTATGGCTCAGTGCCTCGGGCTTCTTATCTAGAAAACAGGATAAGGAGAGCATTTGCCACATGTTGGTACTAGTGGGTGTGTATACAGACATGAAAGAAGTAGAGTCTGGCTGATACTTAGAGAACAGGGTGAGGTGCAGGTGGGAGGGAAAACTAAGTGTAACCAGAAGGCAGGTGGACAGGTAGGTGGGACCAGCGGTGGAGAGCTGCAAAGCCCTACCTGCCTCCTCTCCAGGCAATCACCAACCAGTCCCTTGTTTCATCCCATATCTATTAAGTCTTTTTATCTTTGCAGTCTCTTAAGCAAGGTTTTGTTAACATCTCAATTTTCCACCAGATGCAATGTGTTCACCCAAAGCCCCATGGCTAGAATGCGGTAGGGTCAGGAGAGGCCCAGGAGCTCTGGCCTGTGGTCCATTCAGTGCCCGGCAGGTGATCTCCTGCAGTGGCCACTGCCTTGGGAGTTAGAAGATATGGATTCTTACTCTGATTCTATAACTGGCTGGTTGGGCATCTCATACCTCATTCAGTCTCAGGACAGTCAGTGAAGAAATGTCGAAAGACCCCTGTTCCCTAGAACCTGCGGATGTGACCTTATCTGGAAGGGGGGGCTGGTCTTTGAAGAAATGATTAATATTCTTGGCATGAGGAGAACATCCTGTATTATCCAGGACCCTAAATGTAATCACCTGTATCCTTATAAGAGACAGGGAGAGGAACACTTCATACGTAGAGAAGGCCGCGTGGCCACAGAGGCAGAGACTGGAATGATGAGGCCACAAGCCTAAAACACCAGCAGCTACCAGAAGCTGGAAAAGGCAAGGAATGGATCCTCCCCTACCATCTGGAAGGAGTGCCGCCCTACTGACAACCTTGATTCCAGCCCAGTGACGACACTAACTTTGGACTTCTGGCTTCTGGAACTATGAGAAAATGAATTTCTGTGCTTTTAAGGAACCGGACACAGTGATTTGTTATAGCAGCCACAGGACACTGACACTGACCTTTCCATCTAGAAAGAGGCGGTAATGAATTCCCTCTCAGAGGGCTGAGGAGTGCCCGAAGGGAGTCAGGACATGGCAAAGAATCTAGCAAGAACCAGACTGTACTGTGATAAGTAACCATTAACCACCTGTTTTCCTTACCCTTCTCCCACATCCACTTTGAGGTACAGCATGGGCCATGAAGCTGGGAGGCCCTGGGTGGGAAGCCCAGCTCCAGCACAAAGTGGTAACAGCCGTGGGACTTGAGAAGCTATCTGTCCCCTCAACCTCCCATCTCCTATCCATCAAGGCAAGTAATGGTAACCCACCTAAGAGGAAGAGCAAGGGGCCACATAAGGTAATTCATACATGAAGGGCTCTTAGCACAGAATTTTCAGGTACACAGTTGGTGCTCAATAATTGTGAGATATTATTATTATTCCAGGCAGTTGATGCTGAGCTAGCTTCTTCATGTGGCTGCGTTCACGTCTCTTGCCCTCAGTGGACACTGAAAAGTTTTCCCATCTTATTTCTGTCTGGAGATAATCAACCAAAAGGCACGGGGCAGGGACTGCGTGAGACTCCAGTTTCTCCACCACCAAACTGGCTTCCAAAGCGGATGGTACCACTTACACTCCCACCGGAAGCGCATGAGTTCCGGTTCTCCCGCAGCTCTGCCCACACGTGGTATGTGGTGTGGTCTGGCCTTTCCACCTTGGCCACCATCACCCATGTGCTTGGCACCTCACTGTGGTTTTCATTCCTAAAGACTGATGAGGCTGAGCATTTTTCCAGGTATCTATTTGCTACTAGTAGATCTTCGGTGAAAGGGGTTTAATTCTTTTGGCTGTTTATTAATTGAAAAAGAGTTTAATACATCTACTCTTTAAAAAGGGGTGGGCAGGGTTTGGGGAAGGCACGCAGGGGTAGAGAAACTTCCACAGGCAGGGAGTTATTATCCCCCTAGGTTGGAAGGGGTGAGAAGAGGGCATAATTATTAGCCCCTGACAGGAAGCTGACTGCGGGGAGCTGCCCACGGTGGGACCTGTGTTCAGAGCTGTTTCCCGTGTCTGTGAAAGGGGATAGTAGAAATAATAGTACCTACTCCATGGGGTGGTGCAGATTCAATGAGCTTATGTGTCTAAAGCACTTAGAACAGCACCGACCAGAAAGATGTCCCCATCCTGATCCCCCAAAGCTGTGAATGTTACCTTCCACAGCAAAGAGGACTTAGCAGTTGTGCCTAAGTTAAAGATCTTGGGATGGGAAGATTACCCTGGATTCTCTGGGTGGGTTCGAGGTCATCAAAATGGTCCTCATGAGACGGAGGCAAGAGTTTCAGGTTAAAGAGGTGGGAAAGAAGAGGTCAGAGAGAAAAAAGACAGAAGGACTCAACCTGCCATTACCAGTTCTGAGGACGGAGGAAGAGCACAGCCCTGCCAGCACCTGACGTTAGCCCAGTGAAACCCATTTTGGAATTCTGACTTCCAGAAGCACAAGACAACAAATGTATGGGGCAATTTGTTAGAGCTGTTGTAGACTCATACACAGAGGAATTAATACCTCTGTCTCTCTCTCCCTTCAGGCTTCATGTTGGCTGAACCGAGCTGGAAGCCAGGGGCTGTAGGAGCTCATCTGTACAGTTCACCCGGGTCAGCCTCCAGGGCAGAGAGCAGGGTGGGAAAGGACAGTGTGTATAGCATTTCTGGAGGGGCCACAGGAAGACATCCAGCACAATTATTATCCCCATTTTACAGATGGGGAAACTGAGGCACAAGAGGCTAAGTAATCCACCCGAGGTCACATAGCTAAGAAGGGGTATAGCTGGGCCTGAATGTTGACATGCCCGATGCTAAAGTCCACGTGTCTAACCATCGGGCCACGCTGCTTTCCACCGTCAAGTCCCTGCTACCGACCTGGTACTTGGCGTGAGCTCAGGGGGCAGAGGGCAATGGCGATGATGGTTTTGGAAGGGCAAGTGGGGAGGCATCTCAGGACTTGCTGAGGTCTGTCTGTTATTGCCCTTCTTTCTTCTCCAGGTCTCTTTTCTGTCTTTATGCCATTTTAGACTCCCTGGTCCTGCCTCTGGGCATCAGACCTGTGACTTCATCTAAGGCAACCACCCTAGCCTAGATTTTGGTTCACTTGAATAAACCATGCGGTGGGTAGTGTAAGGCAAGATGTGGTGGTGGGGGGGGTGTGGTGGTGGCAAAATCACACTCAGACTGCCCTGGTGTGAAATAAGAAGAAGTATCTCTACTGGTCTCCACCTCCGGTTGCTGACAATGAGCTCCTAAATCCCTTGGAATTTCCTAGAGTATCTTTGGTTCTAATGAGGTGATTCCTGGCAGGCTCCTAGAGTGGGGCTGGTCACCAGAAAAACCACACCGTGATAGAAGCTTAGAACTTTCAGCCCTACCTCCCTTACTGCAGAGATGGGAGAGGGGCTGGAAATGTAATGATTGATCACGCCTGTGTGATATGGCCTCCATAAACATCCCAGTCGTGCAGGGTTCTGAGAACTCTAGGGTTGGTGAACATGTCCACAAGCTAGGGGAGTGCTGTACCCCAACTCCATGGTGTCAGAAACGCCTGTGCCCTGGACCCTTCTGGACCTCACCTTATGTGCCTCATCTGGCTATTCCTCAGTATCCTTTATCATACCCTTTATGATACCATAAGCAGGTAAATGAAAGTAAGTGTTTCCTTGAGTTCTGTGAGCTATTCTAGCAAATGACTGAGCCCGAGGAGTGGGTCGGGGAACCCTGATTGATAACCAGTTAGTCAGAGCACAGGCCTGGCAGCTGGTACCTGAAGTGGGGTGGGGACAGTCTTGTGGGACTAAGCCCTTCACGTGTGGGATGGGATCCTATCTCCAAGCAGAGAGTGTCAGAACTGAGTTGAACTGTAGGACACCGAGCTGGGATCAGAGCATTGCCTGACATGTGGGGAAACCCACACATGTGGTGTCAGAAGTATTAAGTGTGTGAGAGAAGGGACATGGCAGTGTTATTTTTATGCACTTGGCCAATGGCTTTGGGCTCTCAAGATGGACAGCCAGTTCCAACCTGCTCTCCTGCCAGCCAAGGCCTGTGATGAATTCTGGGCTTTCTGAAGTTGAAAAGATGGCTTCTTTTAGAGAGTGGATAGTAGGAGTCTTCAGAAATTTTTGAGTGCATCTCCCTCTGCCCAGATTCCCTGCTTCAAGTCTTCTTACAGAGGCACTGGTGTTAATTAACCCTTAAAGATGATGTCTTTTCCCAACTCTGCCCAGTCCTCGTAATTGCAAGTTACCTACCGCAGCACCTGCCTGCAGCCCCTGCCACCACACCCTAGCCTGTGGTGTGGCAGACATCCCTAATCGATCACGGAGTTTGTTTCTTCTGAGCCTCAGTACCCTTCCCTTTAAAAAACAACACTCCTGAAGTCACAAAGAGTTGAAACCTAAGACAGCCATCCTTCCCTGGGAGAAGCAGGACCCAGGGCAGGTCAACATGCCTTCTTCCTTTCTCAGGTGACATTTAGATGAAAATCGCATGAAGGGCAGTTTTGAACAATGAAACTCAGAAGTGCCCTTGCAGGGACACCTGGGTGGCTCAGTCGATTAAGCCTCTGCCTCCCGCTCAGGTCATGATCCCAGGGTCCTGGGATCGGGTTGCACATCGGGCTCCCTGCTCAGCAGGGAGCCTGCTTCTCCCTCTGCCTCTGCCTGCCTCTCTGCCTACTTGTGCACGCACACGCACTTTCTCTCTCTGACAAATAATAAATAAAATCTTAACAACAACAACAACAACAAAAAAAAAGAAGTGTCCTTGCCGAGTAGAGAATGGTGGTGACAACAAAGAACATGCTTGGACTCGGGGAAAAATAAGGGGTGGGTGACAGGCTCTGTTTATTTCATATGGTGGCATCGGCTCTGCCCACACCTCCTCTTAAAGTGCCCCAAGTCCCCCATGATTGGCGTGACTGGTGCTACCTGTGGCCACAGCCAGTGCCTACCTTGGACTTGACGGCCAGGATGATCTTGGGCAGGGCCACGACGAGGCACTTGAGGGCGATGGTGACATACTTCAGCACAAAATCAGCAATGCCCACGATCCACAGCAGGTCGAAGAAGTCCAGCGTCTCCAGGTTGGGCTTCAGGAATATGAGGCTGGTGGAGGGGTGGAGGAGAGATGGTTCAGAGAGTCCAGATGCTCGCTTAGGATCCCTGGCCCTTGGCGGCTCCCTCTATCCATTCTGGGAGTCTTGTAAGTATCTGTAGACAGGACCCTGAGCTGGGAATCAGACATTTGTGTCCTGTTCCTGAATCTGCTACTAACTTGCTGTGGAACCTCAGGTAGGTGTCTTAACCTCTCCGAGCCTCCATTCCCCTGAGGGCTCTGCAGCGAGGCTGGCCAGGAGCCTCATTAGTTAAGGTGTCCTCCAGTTTTATAAGTCCATGACAGGCTTCAATAGAGGAAGCAAAAGGGAGGGAGGCAGGTAGGCTGGCCAGCACTATGCAAGGAGGAGGGCAACGGATGTGCAGACACTGTGCTAAGCCTTCTGCTCACTGTACCTCATCGTCCTGCCTGGTGAACATCACTTATTCCCACTTTAAAACTGAAGCACTGAAGCTTGGAGAGGTGAAGTAAGTGGCCCAAGGTCACACGGTATGATCAGCTTATGGGCATTGATATCAGATAGTCCTGAATTTGAATCCAGTTTCCTCCATTTATTGGACCCTGGGTGAATAATGTTATCTCTGTAAGCCTCAGTGTTTTTCTCTGCAAAATGGGACTCATGCCCTCCTTCACACTATTATTGGTGGGATTCGATGAGATAATAGACGTACTACAGACCTGCCACGGAGCAGTGAAAGGAACAGCAGCTCTACAAGGTAGGCACTGTTACGACCGCATTTTGCGGATGAGGAAACAGAGGGACAGAAAGATAAAGTAACATACATAAGGTCCCCAAATACTAAGAGACACAGGCGGATGTGGACCTGGGTTGTCCTGGCTATAGTTAGCACTTTCAATCTTTACCCCATAGCAGCGCTACTCAGAGTACGTAAATCCAGTCTACCCAACTTGCCCAGGTAAGTTAACCTCACACTCAGTTTTTGCACTTACCTTGTTAAACACAGACAACAAGCCATTCTCCAACTTCGACCACACTTCGAGTCACACTGTCTCTACCATCTCTGAGAGTGATGGTATTATTCATAATAATAACATAATAGCTAGGATATCTAGGCTGTTTACATCATTGCTGGCCGATCCTACAGACTTTACATGTCTTAACTCATTTCATTTTCCCAAAGACCCTATGAGGCAGGTGCTAAGATTATTCCCATCTGAGCTCGAGAAACTAGAGCACCAAGAGGTATAGTCACCCACCCACAGCTCTTGGGCTGGAATGAGAGCCAGGATAGGAAGCAGCATCCAAACTGCACTGGTCCACCCGCTTTTCCTCCTGCTGGATTTGAGGCTCTGAGCGAAGGCCACTTCAAGTCCTCTCTGTTCCCTGTAGAGCAAGGAAGAGTGCACACAGCCCAGCGAGGATGCTTTCTGAATGCTTCTGACCTGTTCTGCTGGGCTGCCAGGAAATAGCACAAACTGGGCTCTCTTATTATATAAAATACTACATATATAGGATAAGTATTATACCCATCTCCCGATACCGTCCATGCCCTTTCGCATTCTAGTCTTGTCTCTGGAGGATGCCTTGCCTCCAGGTTGGAGTGGTCACCCACGTCATAACTCAGGGAGAGGCTGGCAGCTCTGAGCACCCTTTGTCTCGCTCCCGTCCTACCCCGGGACCCTGGGCTGGTTGGCTCTGCTTCTCTATTACACTTCTGTGATGGCAGTACCATGAATACCTGCCTCCCGCTTTCATCTCACAGACACCAGCTGCTGTTAGACTCACCTATCTGGGTTGTAGTTCACCATTTTAGGTTTTTTTTTTTTTTTCCCCCTGTTTTTGCTTTTCGGAGGGCCAAAGTGTTTTTGCAGATTGATTGCTAAGTCCACTTCCTTCTTCTTCTTCTTTTTTTTTATTTTAAAGATCTCATTTATTTATTTGAGAGAGAGCACAAATTATGACACACACGCATGGCGGGGGAAAGGGCATAGAAGAAGAGAATGTTAAGCAGACTCCACACCCAGGGCAGAGCCTGACATGGGGTTTGATCCCAGGACCCTGAGATCACGATGTGAGCAGAAACTAAGAGTCAGATGCTTAACAAACTGCACCACCCAGGTGCCCAAGTCTACTTGTTTTTAACGTTCACTATTAACTTTAATGGACTTTAATTCATCATGAAAGAATAGTATTAATTATGAGAAGATTACGGTATATCCGGGTTTCAGTTTACCCAGTACTTTTTCTGTGTTATAACATCTGGCCTTCAAATTATTAGCCCGTCAGGTGGACAAGGCAAGAATCACCTGGTCCCGGTTTCACAATGAGGAAACTGGCATAAGGATTTTCCATTATTTGCCAAAGGGCACAAAGCTGATAAGTGGAAGGATGCTGGTCATCAGAATTCAAATCCTAGGAAGATTCAACCTCACTGTCAAAGACTGCCTATCAGGACTAAGACTCATTAGGAAAAGCTTCATGAAGCCGCAGTTTCCCCACCTGTGAAACGGGGCCAGCAATACCCTGCTGGGTCACTGGGAGGGTAAAATAAGATAATGCCTATGGGTATCACTTACAAACACACTCTAGACTGATGACGTTATTACGGAAAGGGGCTCAACTCTGTTGCTTTTCTCCCAAGCTTCTCTCTTTCTGTGCTGCCAGTTTGACACAGTCCTGGTTCGATGGGGGCACAGAGGTCTGACCTTTGAATGTGATCATGCCCAAAGAATGGCATGATCTGGGAATTCATCCATGTTTCTGGGAAACGCTACCTCCTCCACCCTCCACCCACCAGGACCTTGATAATCTGGACTAGGCAATAATGCAGCGTGTGCGATGTGTCTTGATGCCTTAGAACGGACTCCCCAAATTGCTTTTATGGAGGGGTCCCAGAAAGCGAAGAAACTGCCCGTTCCTCAAAGTCCATTTTTAAAAGAGACAGACATGATTTGGAAGCCTGGCTGGAGTTTCAGCCTCATCCTACAGGCCCTCCCTGGTCAACCCTCTCTCACCTACCCACTATGTGGTTACTAGGAATCGTAAATCACACATGTGGCTTGCGGTGTATTTCCACTAGAGAGCTTTGCTCCAGCACGCATATATATATATATGAGAGGGTGGAATTGAAAACTTAGATGACACAGAGCCGCTGCATCGTTCTCAAGTAAAGGAGCTATGTGCCCCAAGCCCAGCAAAGAATCCCCCACCTTCCCGCCACAGGTCAGACCCCCCCTGCCCACTCACCTGTTGTACAGCTGTTGGGAACTGAATGTATAGAGAACATACAGGGTGTTCCCCGCCAGAAAGGCCAAGATCCACAAGATGACCAGCACCGACCTCTTTTCCTGGAGACAAAGCAAGAGACTTGTAGGGATGCTGCAATGTCAGAGGTGCACATCGCAAAACATTCCAGAATGTTCTCTGACAAGTGGCCTCTTTCCCTTTCTTAAAGGTTTAGAAGAAGTAGGGCTGATGGTGAAGGGAAGGGCACTGGCATCTTCCCATCCTACTGGAGTCCAAGGGGTGGTCCCAGAGAAGGTGATAGAAATGTGGAACCTGCTATGTGAAAAAGCAGGAAGGCCCTAAGGTTAGCATGGATTCTGGAGCCAGACGGCCTGGGTTCAAATACTTGATCTGTAACCGCAAGGCTGGGAAAATTACTGAAACTCTCTGTGTTTCCCTCTCCTCATCTGTAAAATGGGTACATAGTGGGACTCCATTAGAGTTGTGAGAACCGCTTCACAAGAAATGCTTAGAATGGTGCCTGCAGGCAGTCAGTGTTGGTTCACAGTTCCTGTAAGGAAATCTGTAAGGACTGGGGATGCACAGAGCAGGGAAACAGTTCTTGCTCAAGGGCACATGTGTTAAGCCTCAGTATCCTCACTTGAAAACAAGAGTTCTGCTAAGGAGGAAGGAAAATCCAAAAACGCAAACTTTCAGTCTGGTATGGGCTCATGTTTCGGACTCACCAAATGGCAGGATCTAGGATTCAGACTATAGAATCCAGCAGTCGATTCAGATCTATAGGCTGGCCAATTCTCCTCTCCCTTTTTCTAGCCTGGACTTCGGGGTTATTATCCTGGCCTGACCGTTGGCAGGGCCATGGTCACAGGGTTCAGTTCAAGCTCACACACGTAGCCAACAAAGTCTTTTCCCAAACCAACCCTATTTCCTTCTCCAGCCTCATTTCTGATAAGTCCCCAGGAAGCCAACCTGGAAAACCTTCTTGGTTTCCTGTTTCCCTGCAGCTTCTCAGACTGAGAGTCATCCCAGGGAATGTATAGAGGAGGGGCCGGGCAGGGTGTGCTCCTGCCTGTGTAGTCTGGGAGACTCACAGAGACCCCTGTGCTGCTGATTCCCAAAAGCTCATCTTTTCCTGGATCAGGGCAGCTGCATTGCTGGAATGAGATGAGGTCATAACTTTCTCAATGTAACCTTCCCTGCGGTTTTGGTAAATGCTCCACTGTCTCCAGACACAGCTCAGTGCCTCGCGCATGGTTACAGAGCACCTTTCCATAGGGTAGACAAAATAAATGCATCTCCATCCACCCATTATTCCAGGAGTGGTCAAGGTTAATGACCCTAGAAACCACCTCCAACCAAACAACCGCTCTTATCCATGTGAATGATCTACTCAGCAGCCCTTCTTACTCCAATAAATAATGGATTCCAGTTTAATCCCCCTGTAAATCCAAACCAGAGGTGGAATACGGAGAATTAGCAATGCCCGGAGAAGCCAGACTCTGAAGGACAAAAGGGGAGAGTTCTCCAGCGGTAAGCTGATATTTCTAAACTAACTAAGGGTCATGCAGAATCTCTTTCACGGAAAACGTGTATAGACAGGAAAACATCAGCTGTATCTTCACAGGGTTCAAGGATTCCTACCTACAACACCTATCCACGGATAGAGGCATCCTCCAAGCCCTAAAATTTAAGCTAAGGCACCATTTGGATGTTTCTGTATTTGAGAGAGAGCCCCCCAAAGTGTGCTACCATGGTACTGTTCAGCCTGCTATTCTAATAATAGCAGAGAGGAGTCTGTATGAAGAAGATGAGACTGAGGGTCAAGAAGAACCTATGGTTCCAGGCCCAGCTCTGGACCTCAATGTGCTCGAGTGTCAAGGGGAGACTGAGCTGCCTTCTGTGTCTCACAGAGGCCCAGATGGTTTTAAGAAAGCAACAGAGAACGATGGAGAGAAGGACCAGAGAGCATGGTGGCTGTTAGGGGATCACACACACAGTAGAAGGCATAGGCTTATTAAAAGTAGCTCAATTAAATGTTTCCTGTACGCCAGGCCCTGTGCTAAACACCTCCTAACACTATCTCATTTGACCCCCCCTACGCATGTATGAAGTTGGTGTGAATGGTTCATTTTCCAGGGTGGCACCGGAGACTGAGATCACCAAGGTAGCCTATCCTAGGGCCTGTATGCTGGTGGCCAGAGGAGCTGGGATTTCAGCTGGGGATGAACACAGCCCGTGGGCCTGAGGCCCGGGTTGACAGCCTGTCACCACCACTTTCAGGGACTGTGTGACCTCATACACAAGGCACTTAGTGTCTCTGAGCCACTGCTTCCTCATTGGGAAAATGAGCTAAGAATGATTCTGCCTTCTTCCTGGGCTGCTGAGACAAATCTGCAAGATGAGCTCTGCCGGCCGCCCAGTTGTGTGCTCAGCGTGGTTAGTGCCGCACGGAGATTAGATGGGAATTTGGGACAATGGTGGTGATGCTGGATGGTGAAGCTGGTGGACCCGCAGCATCAGCAGGATGGCCTCAACCGTGGGAGTGGCCAGGCAGATAAGGGTGCTGTGGGCACATGGGGGAGACACTGCTGTTGGGAGGGTATGGGAGAAGGACAACACAACTGGGGATCTGCCCAGGAGTGGCAGGCAGAAGAGTGGCCTCCTGGGGACGGCCCCATCCCAGTCCCTATCACCTAGTCCCTATCACCTGTGGCTATGTTAGTGGAATTTAGATGGCTAACCTTGACATGGGGAGATTCCTGGATTTTCCAGCTGGGCCCAGTGTAATCTCAAGAGTCCTTAAAAGCAGAAGTGGAAACAGAGGGAAGAGTTCTCAAGTAGATGTGACTACGGACAGACAGGTGGGCATAGAGGTGTGGCGTTGTGGGCTCGGAGGAGGCGGCAAGGGGCCACGAGCCAAAGAATGTGGGTGACCTCTAGAACCTGGGAAAGGCAAGGCAAGGTAATCTCCTTTGAACCCTCCCAAAAGAATAGTCATGTTGACAGCAGATCTTCACCTGGAAAGACCCACTTTGGACTTCTGATCAACAGAACTATCAGGGAGTAAATCTGTACTGTTTTAAGCCATGGGGTTTGTGGTCACGTGTGACAGGTGCCTAGGAGAGCGGTTCGCCAGGGGACTCACCTTCAGAGAGACCTGTTCTCGAAGCGTGGAGTTGGCGTAGGCGAAGGTGCTGGCCATCCCGATGCACACAGCAATGCCTGCGGGGGACAGAAGAGGTCTGCGCCATCTTCTCAGACTCCTCGGGCCCAGCCCTAGCTTACTCGGCACCATGTGCAACATCACAAAGTCACCACCCTCTATTCCTTCATGCCAACCAAGCGGCAAAGGAAGTTTCTGCAGGGCCAACGACAACCCCCACTGGACAGAGGACGCCACAGGCTCAGAGAAGGTGAGTGACTTGTCCCAGGTCACACAGCTGCCCGACCAGGCTTGCTATCCAGGTCTGACTTGGAATCTCACACTCTTAAGCACTGGGTACCATGAAGGCCTCTGCAACCCTGCCCTGGCCCATGGGATGAAGGGCCTCCGATCTGACAGGTGAAGCCCCAGGCTGCCACACCTGTGATCCCCCCATGCCTAGACTCACCGAGCTTGTGTTGGAAGCACACTTTGGCCAGGAGGATCAGGATGAAGGGCAGCCCCTTCTGGAGCCAGCAGACCACGGCCTTCAGCTCGGACAGGGCAGGGGCAGGTGTCCCTGGCTGCTCGTCGCTCCCCTCATCTGAGTGGGCACGGTGGTCTCCGCCCACATGCTGCAGCAGCGAGCTCCCACGGTGGCCACTGTGGTGGAAGTGGTGGTGGGGCTGGCGGTGGTGGTAGGCGCCCCCCTCACCCCGGCCCCCGGCCTCCTCCCTGGACGCAGGCATCTGGATGAACACGTCTCCGCCTCCGGCCGACGCCCCCAGCACCAGGCTGGATGGGAATTGGGTGGTGGGCAGGCTGCCTGCTGGTAGGCCAGGGAGACCAGAGAAGAGCGCGGGTGGGGAGGCCGACTCTGCCTTCAGGCTTTCAAAGACACCGCCTTCATCCACGCTTGCCTCAGAGCTGAGCGCTTGGCTGCGATTTCTGGGCCAGGGGGGAAAAGAGCCCCATCAAGTCAGTAGGGAGAGAAAGACGGCACCCCAGTAGAGGATGGGGAGGCAAATAACATCCCAATATTGTTGCAGGCTGTATTGCTCCCCCCCTCCCACATTCCTATTTTGAAGCCCTAACCCCTGGACCTCAGAAAAGCAACCATATTTGAAGATGAGGTCCTTACAGTTGGTGATTAAAAGGAGGGCTTTAGGGTAGGTCCTGATCTAATATGTCTAGTGCCTTTACAACAAGAGATTAGGACATGGACACACACAGAAAGATGATCATGTGAGGATGCAGGGAAAGGAGGCAGCCATCCACAAACCAAGGAGAAAGGTTTCAGAAGAAACCGACCCGCCCACATCTTTATCTTGGACTTCTAACTTCCAGAATAGTGACACGATAAATCGCTAACTTTTAAGCCACCCAGTGTGCGGTACCTTGTCACAGAAGGCCTGGAAAACTGAGACAGAGAGCACCAACAACAGGGTCATAATCTTCATGGAGAATTTACCCTGTGCCAGATACTTTTCTAACGGCTTCCCGTTGATTGAATCATGACACCCTCCCATCAACCCTGTGAGTTAGGTACTAATAATACAGCCCCACCTTACAGATCAAGAAACTGAGGCACAGAGAAAGTAACACGTCCTGAGTCACACAGCGGTGAGGGACAGAGCAGGAGAGACTTGACTTTAACTCCAGAGCCTGCTTTCTTTCTTTCTTTTTTTTTTTTAAAGATTTTATTTATTTATTTGACAGAGATCATAAGTAGGCAGAGAGGCAGGCAGAGAGAGATGAGGAAGCAGGCTCCCCACTGAGCAGATAGCCTGACGTGGGGCTCAATCCCAGGACCCCGGAATCATGACCTGAGCCGAAGGCAGAGGCTTTAACTCACTGAGCCACCCAGGTGCCCCCAGAGCCTGCTTTCTTTACTACTCTACTCTACTGAAAAGCCAGCACAGGTTCTATGATTCTAGAATAACCTCAGGAACCCAGGGACCCTGGCCCTGTATTGTTCGGTGACTCCCAGTTTCCAAGAGGGCCCCACCTTGGTCACAGCTGGTATTTGGAGGGTAGCAGATAGTAATATCAAGAAGAGGGCCGCCTGGGTGGCTCAGAGGGTTAAGCCTCTACCTTCAGCTCAGGTCATGATCTTAGGGTCCTGGGATTGAGCCCCGCATCAGGCTCTCTGCTCAGCGGGGAGCCTGCTTCCCCATCTCTCTCTGCCTGCCTCTCGGCCTACTTGTGATCCCTCTCTCTGTGTCAAATAAATAAATAAAATCTTTAAAAAAAAAAAAAAAAGAAAAAAGAAGACTCCACAGGAGAGTCCACATTCAAACCCCAGCCCCACGCTTTCTAGGGGCCTTAGCCACCTGGCACTCACTTTTCTCACCTGAAGATGGTAGAAGCACCATTCCTATACAGAATTCCTTCCTGTGCAATTGAATTTAGCACAGCCTTTTCCGTGTACCCAGCCCAGAGCAGGTGCTCAATTCATGGGAACGATGACTTCAAATCTTTCTAGAGGGACCCCCAGAGCCAACTGCCTTCTCTAGTTCCAGGCATGGCCTCCTGTACTATTAGCACCTGGCTAAGGGTTCTGTGGCTCTCTGAGAGATATTGTGGAGGAGCAGAGAGCCCAGAATTACCCCTACGAGAATGGAGAGCCCCAAACCAGGTATGCTCTGCACCACTCCCAGGAGGTCTGGAGGTCATCTCTCTTGGGCTTGCCCCCTTTTCAAATGGGAGCACTATGTGGAAACAAGAACTGATTTGCTAGGTGTGTACCTGTCACACCTGTCGGGGGAGGAGCCTATCATGGGAGGAGCAGAGAGCCTCCCTCCTCTCGCTCGCCCCCAAGGCACCTCCCAGACCCCTAGGGTACTTAAAATATGTCACGACCTTACTGACATGAGAGCGGAGTTCCAGCCATCCTCTGTGGTCCCCACAACCTGGGGCACGCAGTAGGTAGTCAATAAACGTGTGCTAGCTTTCATCCAAGTGCATCACGCTAGACAGTATAATCTTTACTTGGAGACTAGGATCATATAAAAAAACACATATTTGATTATTTTCACTGTCCCACTAAAAGGGCTTCCCATTCTAAACTTCCTTCTGCAGGCTCAAATAAACACTATCCATTGGGACGAATAGCATTCCCATTTTACAGATTAAAAAACTGAGGCTCAGAGAGACAAAACTGTCAGATGCACTGGATGCTCTGGGTCCAAACTCCAATGTCATCATGTGCCTTGTTCTCACTGCCCAAGGGCTTCCTGCTGCAGGGTCTTTGCACAGACACTGGGATGTCTTCCCACCCCCAGCCCATCCCACCTGGGTCACCTATGCTCATTCATCAGATTGCAGCTAAAATTTCTCCTGCTTGGTGGTGTCCTTCCTACCTCCCAGACAATGACAGTGTTTTCACTCTACCCTGACCCACTGCCTGGTACTGACCCCAAGTGTCATTTCACTGTCTACCTGTGACTCTCAACCTTGGAGGCACATTATAATCACTCAGGGGAGCTTCTGAAACATACAGGTGCCTAAGACCCAGTGTTAACCAACTGAATTAAAATCTTTGGGTGTGGGCCTTGACATCTCTAGTTTGTGAGATCCCTCTAGGTGATTCTAACGTTCAGTCAGCATCGAGAACAGCATTTTAGCCTGGGCCTTGCTCCAAGAGGTCAAAGATCACGATTATTTGCTCCTACTGTCTCTCTCATGCCCAGCACAATGCACCAGGCACACACAGCATGGTCAATAAATACTATTTGAAAGAATGAATGAATGGGCTTACTAAAGGCACTGAGAAGGCCTGCAACTGAAGAAAAAATTAATTTTGTTGAAACTTAGTGTTTTCCAACCTTATCTGACCATGGGATTCTTTTATTCTGTGGGAAACTTATTACCATCTTAGAGGACACTTGTGAAACCCAGCAGGGGAAATGCTGGCCTGGAGAAATCTCAGGGCTGGCTTCTCTAGCTCTATAAACTTGACCTGGGAAGAAATGATCATAAACCTGGTACAAGGGAAGGAGCTTAGAGATGGCTACCCATTCTCCCTCCCCATGGCCTATCCCTGCTGGCTCCCCAAACCCACGAGATGTATGGTCCCACTCCCTTGGGCTTGGGATAACAATAAAAATAATATTAGTAACAACAACAACAGACACCATGGCTGTGACCCTCAAGGGGCCGTGAGCTTTCTCTGCACTTTAAGAAACTGAGCTCAGAAAGCAGGAGTCCTGGCAGGTGCCCACGCTGACCCACCTAGGGGCCAGCCTCTCTCCGCCAATGGGCCCTGGAAAGCCTTCCTGGCCCCCTGAGCTCACCAGCATGGAGCTTACTGGGCTCAGGGGGCCTCTAGAGCAACCAGCGAAGACTCAACCCACCAAAGGGCTTTTTATAGCTGGCCTCCCTTCCCTGGGCCCCTCCTCAGTATCCAGCCGAGATTTCAGCCTAAATGGGAAAGCATATTCCTTGGAGGACCAAGGCTGTGCTTCCAACTTAACCATTTCAGGGCTAGAATTCGAGGCAGCCCAGGAGAAGAGGATCTACCCAGATAGGATGCAATCATGATGTGGGGACACAAAGCTTGAACTATGGGGGGGTGGAGGGTGGTTGATGGGCTGGGCCTGAACCTCAGCCTGTTGCTTCCTGGCTGTGTGACTACAAGCAATTCACTTCCCCTCTCTCAGCCTCAGTTTCCTCAACCATAAAAAGAGCAGTAAAAGTAGCCCCGGCCTCATCAGGCTAGTGTGAGGGGGTTGCAGGGTCAGCACGCAACACATGGTGGCCATTATTTTTCTGCTGCAGTCTCTGCCCACCAAGACCCCAGGGTTCACTCAAGAGCAGATGGCGATTCTGTCTTCAGAAGCTAGAGAAGCTCCAAGAAGCACGCTTATTACAAGCCAGAGGCCGTGTTTGTGCATTTTCATGCTCATTCATCAACAACCCTGAGTTTTATTATGGATTTTATCAGGGGAGAAACTGAGGTCCAGGGGTGGAGTCCCTCGCCAAAGGCACCGCAGGTAGAAAATGGCTAAGCTGGGATTTTGGCTAAGGGTCCTCTGACTTAAGGCCAATGCTCTTCCTTGTAGAACAGGCAGGGTTGATGATGCAAAACTCAGTTTTAATGGGACTGGTCGTCAACCTTGGGCTTGCAGCACCCCCTCCCCCATGGGATGTGAAGATGAGAAGCTCAGCTCCCCCTCCTGGGATGTGTGTGCAGCACAGGTGGAGAGTGTTAGAGTGAGAATACATCTCCATGGTGTGGAGTCTCTCCGACTTCACTAGACAGTAATGCTAGCTCATGAGTGTTTTCACAGATTTTTCCATTTGTCTAATTGGCATCTGCTAATAAAAGCTGTGGCCTGTGCTTACTCCTTGTCTCTTCCTGCCTCCTAACAGTGGTGCTTCCTGGTAAGGTGTGCCCTGCCCTCTTGGGAAATATAAATAACATTTATGTTGTGTAAATATGTTAGGTAAATAACAAAAATCTTCTCTCAGCACTGTTAGCCTCTCTGTGTCCTCACTCACTCACCTAAGTTAAAATCTATGGGAACGATCACTGATGCAATGAGCCAAGAGGATCCCCTGTCCCACAGGTTTTGGAAATTACCCTAAAGCAACAGCAAGCTGCTGTATTGAGAAGTACGTGCCATCACTGGGCAAAGCAGTTTCCAACCAGACCTCCTTTGCTCATCTTACAAGCAACCCTGAAAGGTGGGTACTATTCACTCAGATTTGGGTTGCCCCAGACCACCTGAAATCCAGAACCTCCAGATAGAAGGAAACCAGGAGAGGTCTTACCTACCTTTCAGGTGGACCGTTATCCGTGTTACTACTGTGGCGTCTCTGCATTTTCCTTAAGACCTGAAAGTCAACACATGGCATGAGCCAGAGTCTCTCAACATTCCCATTGTCAGTCAGATTGCTAAGGCAACTGTAAACAAGTACTACTTCGCATCCCCAGAACTCTAACATGCTGCAAACCCAGCTTGCATCTTTTAAGTCATCCAACTCTTCATTCAACATTCAATTCCAGGGAGGAAAGTGTTCTCACCCCATTTTGCAGACAAGGATGTTGACACCCAGAGGCGGAGGAAGACGTCCTCATGTGAGAGGCGGCTATGAAATGTGGAGCAGGGAGGTGCTGGAGGATGGAAGTGCAAGACATGGCTTCGGCACTGACGCTGCTCCTAACGTGTGTGATTTGTGGTTGGACAAATCAGCAACCTCTCTGTGGCCTCAGATTCCCCATCTGTTAAATTGGGGGGTTGGGGTTTGGTGTGACGGAAACCCAAAGCTACCTTCCAGCCCTCACATGTAATACGATGGTAATAGGGATGTGAATTCTATGGAGACATGTTACCTGGTTCACTGTTAGGAGCCACATGGACTTCAGAACTCCATGTTTATGATGTCTGAGCGGGGCCTGCAGGGCTCTGATGGGGTTGTGACCCCTAGAATTCAGCGATAGCGGGCCTCTTGGGCCTCTTCAGAAGGATGCACAGGTCACCAGAGCTTACCAGACTCCAAACCCTGGAGGGAAGAGAACACTTAAGGGAACAGTCTGTGGAATGGCTTGAACCTGAGAATGTCTTAGGGCATCATGGGTAGTTCTAAGCATATGGTTCTGTCTGCTCCCTATCTCTGGTTAGCCTCTCACTGATCCCTCTTTAGGACTCCTGAGGATGTTGTCTTAACGTATTTTGTCCTGCTATCAAATTCTGAATCCTGATTGGGGAATACAGAAAATACGTGTGAGGCCCTCTAATGGATTCCCATTGCAACCAGAATAAAATCCAAACTTTGCTTATGGCCTACAGGTTCTGCCTGATGAAGCTTCACCTGTTTCCAATCTCATTTCCCCCTACTCTTCCTTTACCCTCTCCCCACCAGGCACATTGGCCTTTTTGTTTTTCAAACAGACAGGCTTGTCCCTGGCTCAGGGCCTTTGTACTTGCTCTTCTCGATTCCTTCAATGCTTTTCCTTCTGTCTAACTTCCTCAGGTCAAATGTCACTTCCTTCCAGAGGCCTTTTCCTCTCACCCTCCTGACTCACCACATATTGCCCTGTTTTATCTTCTTTATAAAACTTATTTACTTACATGTTTGCTTATTTATGATCTGTCCCCCGTAAGAATGTAAATGCCACAAAAGCAGGGATCCTATGTCTGGCTCACCCGGGTACCTCAGCATCCAGAACTGCCTAGCACAGAGTTGCATTCAACAAATAAATATTCGGATATTTATTCAATATTTATCTTGGGATCTCAATTAATTTTTTGAATATTCCTTTCTCCCTCCCCGACCTTTCACCCTAGAAAAATAAAAGCCTAGACTTTCCATGAATAGGTTTACCCTTGAATTTTTTTTTTTTTTTTTTTTTTGGTATCAGAACCAAAGATGGTATATTTTAGTTGAGAACATCATAATCGGTTGTTGAATGATTTCCTAATCCTGACCACCTTCTTCAAGGAACAGCATTGGTGTTAGCAGGACCACTGATGAGAGACAATTCACTGGCTAACCCTCTTTTTTTTGGAAACTCAGCTAAGAAACAGGTCAGTAGCACCACCTTTACATATGAAGGAAAGCTCTTATGTAAATATTTTTCAACAACAAGCAATGCCATCTTAATGGCCCCTCCCAGTGATTCCCCATCGCTTGCAAATCCTTGGGGAAGATAAAATACAGCATCCCAAACACAAATCCCAAATTTGACACACCTTCCTAAATCACACGCCCAAGATTCTACTTCAGATGCTCGACTTCGAGGGGCTTCAGATTCACTCTTGGAAGCAGGCCATACATAATTATTCCAATACTGAATTCTGGTATAAAATTTTGCACGTGGGATGCATCCGAATGACTAAATGAAACGCCTCTTAACCCTCTGCTCCATTCATCGTACTACCTCCCTGTGAAGAATTACCCTGAGACTTCTCAGTGCACGCTTTGTTTTAAGTTGCGCCCCCAGGCCGTTACAGGGCTGCACCGAAATGCTGGCGAGAGCATCTCCTGGGTCCCAAGCACTGGAAGCCGGCAGGTACACTTGAGGAACAAAGCCGCGAGCATTCCTGCAACCAACGTTCGGCACAAAATGCCCTCGGACTGCAAGGACAGGAGACTACACGGACTGTCCCCGAAGGAAAAAAACGCGTTCTCTTTTTACCTGCCCAGACAATTCAGCAATCACAGCGGCATCATTCACGTCCTTCCAAGCCAATCACTCGCGAGGCCCGGGGAGCACGTGACTTCCGAGTGCTTCCGGCCTCTCTTCGGGTTCTCTCTCAGGTGGCCTTAGCGCGGCGCTAAGAGAGCGGCGCCGCTACTCCTGCGGTGCGCACGCGATTGCCCGCCCCCCTTTCGAGATTCAGCCAATAGGAGGCCGGTGCTTCTTAGGGACCAATGGGGGAGGAGACGAGCTAAGCCGGTGGGCGACGCGAGCTGAGTGGAGGCGGGGCGTGGAGCGGGTCACGTTGGGGCGGCGCGGGGTGGCTGCCGGGAGCTGGCTGGGCCGGAGGCCGTGGGGCCGGCTCCCGCCGCGAGGAATGGAGCTGCCGGCCGTGTAATGGCCATGCCGCCCGGGCCCCGGGCCTTCCTTGCTCCGCGCCCCGGCCGCCGCGCCCCTCGTCCGCGCCGGCATGGTGAACCTGGCGGCCATGGTGTGGCGCCGGCTCCTCCGGAAGAGGTGGGTGCTCGCCCTGGTCTTCGGGCTCTCGCTCGTCTACTTCCTCAGCAGCACCTTCAAGCAGGTCAGTTGGCTGCCCGCCGCCCTCCCGCCTTTGCTCTTTCGGCCCCCTGGCTTCCCGCCGGGGTGGGGGGAGCCGCCTGTGCAGCCGCGCTGTCAGTGTGTTCGAGGGTCCGGACCGCCGGGTCCGAGGACCGGCTAAGGGACCTGCCCATTTCGTTGGTGCCGGGGCGAGAAGGCGCTGCTAGGCCAGGGGCACAGGTGGAACTCGAACCCAGGTCTGTGGGCCCCTGACTGTGGTTTTTACCCTTACTACCGTCTGTGTGCCTTCTACCTGCCGGGCCCAGGGCTTGAGGGGGAGGGCGTGCGTTTCTTGCTTCTTCCTCCCGGCAGTCCTGGGGGAATGTGTGTCCCTAGATTGCATCGGGGGAAACTGAGACTCGGAGAGGGGGAGGTGGTAGGTAGCCAAGCTGCGAGTCTAGCGCTGGCGTACTTGCCCTGCGTTTACTTTGGGGGCTCAATGGTCCACTCGGGAACCTCAGCAGGACCCATGAGGTACCCTTTCTGGACATAGCTTCGTTGGATGGAATTTGCTTCTTACGTCCCCATCCCCTTCGTTTTTCTTCTGTGTGAGACTTTCTGGGAGAAAAGGCAGGGTGGTTTGGTGGGAAATGTGACCAACGCACTGGACGTTTATGAGTCCGGTTTGAGCGTTTGGGTTTTTAGAAGGGATGAGAGCATACCTCGGAGTGTATCAGGGACAAAACTGGTTTATGCTGTTCCTCTGATGTCTGATTGCTGTGAGGCTCTCAGGGGTCAAGTTCTTAAATATATTAACGAATACAAAATATGCGATCACCCTAGTTTAACAGGATCAGTGGGGGAGCTGTGTAAAGGGAACATAGGGAACTGTATCCCCTCTTACCTTAAGCAAACGGGCTGAGTGTTGTGAGCCTCTTTATTGACTGGGATGTGTTGGGGACATTCAAGAACTAAGTGCTTCTGGGACTTGTGTTTGCTGCAACCTCACAGACACCTTGTGGTCACTTGTTTTTCCTTCTCTGTTTGGAGGACCTCTGAGTGTTAGAGGGAGCCAGGACTCAGATCTCTGCATTCTTCCCTACCTGACCCAGGTGATTTCTGGGACCATTGTTTAAATTCCAGCTGTATGCTCTCGATACCCAAATTTGTAACTTTAGCCTAGACCTTTCCAGAAAACTCCCAATTTTTCTATCCGGTTGGTTACTTGACATCTTTTTGAATGTGTCATAGGCTTCTCATTCTTGGCCAAAACAGAACTCTTGATTCTCCACCATCAACACTTCCTCTTCAGTCTTCCCAGGCTCACCAAGTGGCATTACTGTTCACCAGTAGTCCGGCCACAGATACTCACAGATACTTCCTTCTTTCTCTCACTCCCCATAACCAAAACATTGCTCCTGCCTCCGCAGTGTATCCTGATTTTATTTCTTTCCCCTGATTGTCACTGGTGCCACTGTAGGTCAAGCTACCTTGTCTGGACTACTGCAGTAGCTCGCCATCTAGTCTCTGCCTCCTTTTTTTTTTGGGATTTATTTTATTTGAGAGAAAGAGGAGGAACAGAGGGAGGGAGAGAATCCGAAGCCGACTCCGTGCTTAGCACGGATCCCAAGGGGGCTTCGATCCCATGACCCTGAGATCGTGACCTGAGCAGATATCCAGAGTTCGATGCTCAACCGATTGAGCCACACTGGTGCCTCAAGGTCTCTGTTTCCTTTCTTGTCCAACAGTCTCTTCTCTACCCAGCAGTAATAGGAGTGATAATCTGGAAGAAAAAAAAAATCATAGTTCTTCCCTAGGTATAATTCTTCTTTGCCTCTCTGTTGCATTCAGATAAAGCTCAGACTCCATTCCAGGATCACTGCTTGGTGAGTCTTTTTTATCCCTTCAGGCCCAGCTAACCGTTACTGCCTCAGGCCACACTGGGTGACACAGTCTAAATGAAGGTTCATTGAATGTAGACCTGTTTTATTTTCTTTGTAGAAGGAATCATTAACTGAACATCTCTTGTTCATAAACTTGTTTATCTGTCTTCTCTCTCTTTCCCTTCTAGACGTTAATATTCTTGAGAACAGGAACCTTGTCTGTGTCGTTCATAGAATCTCACCCCCTAGAATACTGCCAGGCACTTAATGGACCCTCAAGTGTGGTTTGAACAAACGAGTGAGTTGTGAGTTTTTTTAATTGGGGTGACTTTTCCTTTCTTCTCCAACTACTCAGAAGCTGTCTCCTCTGTGACCTTCCCTACAACCATCTTATAAGTACTCTCGTGTACCTTGTGTATTTATTTTAAAATTACAGTTTGTCTTTTTTAAAAACCTGTGATCCATGACCTTGATTGGGGAGGGATGATTGTGATTTGCCTCAAACTGTTGGCAAATTTCTCTGGGTCAGATCCCTCCCACAGCCTAATAAACACTAAGAAACCCTTTAGCTGTAACCTTTCTATCCCTGCCCATCAACTCCGGGCAGCCACTCATCAACTTTCTGTCTCTGTGGGTTTGCTGATTTGGACATTTCATATAAAGGAGTCCTACAACATGTACTCTTCTTCTTTCAGTTCAGTTCTTTGTAGCATATAGTAGTACTTCATTTTTTTTTTTAAAGATTTTATTCATTTATTTGAGACTGTGTAAGAGAACACAGGTGGTAGAGAGAAAGAAGCAGGCTACCTATTGAGCGGGGAGCCCGATGCAGGGCTTGATCCCAGGACCCTGAGATCATGACCTGAGCTGAAGGCAGATGTTTAATGACTGAGCCACCCAGGCGGCCCGTTGTACTTCATGTTTACATGTGGATAATAGTCCATCGTCTCCATCTGCTGCATTTTGTTTTCCGTTCATCTGTTGGTGGATGTTTGGCTTTTTTTCCTGGTTATTATAAATAATGCCTCTCTGAACATTAGTGTTCAAGGTTTTATTTGGAAATACGTTTTCATTTCTCTTGGGTGTGGTCCTAGGAGTAGAAATGATGGGTCACGTGGTAATTCCGTGTTTAACTTTTTAGGAATTGCCAGACTGTTTTCTAAAGTGGCTGCACCGGTGCAGTGAACTTTTAAGGAACTATACTTGTCAAGTTTTGATGTAGTACCAAAGAAGACTATCTGTAATTATTTGAAAAAGCCGTTGAAATATCCCTTCCATTTCCAACTACACATCTTTGTGAGGTAGATTTTCTTCACATGCTTCAACTCAGACAACATATTGCTACAGATTAACTGCAGAGGGAGTTAGGAGAATCCCGCTGTCTTCCATTCAGCTGGACATTAAAAAGATTTGCAGAAATACAAAAGCATTTTCTCACCAAATTAATTTTTTTGTTTTGAAGAACATTTTTTTTCACAGACAAAAAAAAAAATGCCCTGTTAACATATAATAGGTTCATTTTTATTTTTAGTTGAATAGATAATTTAAGTATTTCAAGAATTTATTTTTAAATTTCTAGCATGATCCTCATAAACCCATATATGGAGATTCTCTATATAAGGAAGATAAAGGGTCTTTGGGACCCACAACTCGGAGCCCATTCTGGCTGATGCTGTTCTCTGGGCATTTGCGTTTGCTCGTCTTGCTCCGCTCTGCGGTTCTGGTCACCCGCCGCTCCTGAGCTGTGTGACTTGAGGCAAGTTTGCTTCACTTTGCCTACCCTCCGTTTCTTCATCTGTGAGACGGAGATACGGTATGGAATATATGGGGCTGGGTGTGTGTGTTGGGATTGAATTGAGGAGATGCTGTGAGAAGTCGTCAAGCTACTGGGCCCCATGCTCTGCTTCAGGGAAACTGAGCTTGTGGAGCAGACGCAGCTGCTCCTCGCCTGGAGAGGAGCTGATTACCCTCTGTTGCTTTGAATTCCTCTTTTCTTTGGTTTTCACGTTAATTAATGCTTTGGGGGATAGTTTAAATTGTAGAGATGAGAGTGCAGGAGAAATTAATGACAATGGTGGGGATGCCATTGGGGTGTAGAGGATTGGGTGCCAAGTGACTTGGGCGCATTTACTTAACAAATGTTGAGTGAGCCCCAGCTGTGTGCTAGGTGCGCTCTGCTAGGGTGGTGGAATACAAGGGGTGGGGGGGCAAAACGGATGAGGTCTCACTCCAAGAGCCTGTATTGTGCCAGGGAGTAAAGGGGGCAGAAATGGCAGGTGGCCAAAATGATTTCAGATTATGATTTACCCCGTGAAGGAAACAAAACAAGCTTCGGCGGTTGAGCATCAAGGTGGGCCTAACTCTGTGGGGCATTCGAGCTGAGATGGAAGAAATCCCCGTCTTAGAGTCAGAGGGTCCTCAGAGGGCCTCTCGTGTAAATAAATGTTCTCGTGTTCAAGTGGAAGGGTTCTCGAAAGTCTCCGGGCTCTTGGCATAACTCCTTGAAAACATATTAACATCTTCAGCTTTCAAGGAACTAAGTGTGTAAATTGAAGTAGACTAGTGTGTAAGTTAGATACTTCTGAAGTGTAGCAAATCGTAAGAGTTGCTAAACTATTTTTTATTGTTGTTACTGTTCACCAAGGTATGTACGTTTTTCAGAATGTTTGTCAAGTTACTCCCCAGGCTAGAGGAGAACAGTGACCCATAATTTCACCGAGCATGGGACATTTATCTCATTTGACCCTTATGGTAACTCCTGAAAAATAGACTGGGCAGTTATTTAAATACTCTTTTAAAATCAGGCTAAGTAACATATATTAGTAATAAAAACATTACTGTAGCTCCTTATAATTTATGAAGAAAGGTCTCATTTTTTTTTTGTTTTTGTTCCCACTCTTTGTACTGTGTGTGGACGTCTGTTGTGGCTGATTGCACTGATTTCTCTGCACACTTCTTTATCCACTGTTCTGGGGGCACTTGGAGAATAGAGAACCTGACTGCCTTTGTATATCCTTACCGCTTTGTAAGGACTTGCTGCCTTTGTGGGGGGGAAACACGTGCATGCACGCGCACACACACACACGCATGAATCCGTATATAGATAAAAAGCCTAGAATTGAGACAACCTAACAGAGTAGGTCAGTTTGGAAAGGGTTTAAAACCATGGAAGGAATCCCCTCACTGGCCCTTCACTACACCATATTGGCGAGACTGGACCCTCAGAAACACGAATGTGTGCTAATTCATTACATTTGCCATTATGTCTTACACTGTCTCTTGTACAGTCTTGTTTGATTGTACAACTCTTATTACCCAATCCTTTTGGTAGGGTCTTGGATACTCCTGTTTGAGAACTTGAAAAAGTGTTCAAGTGCCAGAAAAATTGCCTTTCTGTTGACCGGGAGCAGAGTTACGTGGAAGAGGTCTTTCCGGGATGCACTTGGCTGTGAACTCTTGTTTTCTTTGGGGAAGAATAACAGGACAGTTTCAGAGTGGTGTTAGTACTTTCAACCTTGTGAGATCCATTATTCTTTGACCAGCTGCTTACTAGTCTTCACGGCTATTAATTTATCTAGGACAGCATTTGGAGCTCAGTTTCATTTGTGCATAGCTTGATTCTATAGTTAACTGATACGGTCCCAGCAGAGCAGAGGAGTATGAACTGATGGTAGTTAAGCAGTGTGCACCTAAGTGATTTGTCCCATATTCCCAAGGCTTCTGCACGTAGCCCCTCTTCTTGCACCAGCCAAGGAATACAAATCTTGTTTTTGTATAACCCATCCTGTTTCTGCCAATGTCAGTTCTTGCCTATAAGTGAAACAAAAGAGAAGAGCAGAATAGAAATTAAAGTCACCACATGTAACTGTTTTACACTTAGTAAATTAAAGAACATTCTCCAGTACTGGTGCAGTGGTGGTGGAATTGTTACGTAAATGCTGGTAATACTACAAATGGCGTGTATAACTTCCGGGACGTTATTTGGCACTATGTAGCAGGGACTATTTCTAGTAATTATTACTATGAGTCATTCAAGAGAATAAACAAACCTCTGTTTTTATTGCAGTGCTGTCTATGATAACAAAAACTTGGGCTGGGTCAAATGTTTGTGGAAAGTGTGTTTACTGAATTATGGCACATCAACATGATAGATTATTATATGGCCTTGAAAATGCTATTATGAGGATGAGGTGGGTACTTAATGGTTTACCATCCAGTTAGGGTCAAGAATTGCTGAATGCTAAGCATCCTCATTTGTAGTCTAAATGCTGGGTTCAAAGGTTAGAAGTTAATGTATAAAAATTGCTAAAGCTTTATTTAAGCAATGGGACTGTGGGCAATTTTTGTTTTTAATGTTGGTAGTCATGCTTTTTTTTTTTAAATAAAATTTATATTTTGGGAGAATTACAGATTCAAAGAAAAGTTTCAAGGATAGTACAGAGTTCGTGTAGCTCCCTCAGTGTCTTGTTAGTGATAATCATGTTTTTATTATTTTAAATTAAAAATGAAAATATTCCAAAAATGACAGAAGATGTTAATAATCCCCTCTATCCCTTCCAGGTTAATAGCCTGTAGCATATCTTCCCATACTTTTATCTCAGTTCTTACAAACCTGTATGTGTATGTTATTGTTATCATAATGTGTGATATAATATGCACTTTCTTTTGTAACTTGCTTTTTTCACGTAGTTTATTGTGACATCCAGTGGTCTACACACAGTGATCTGTGTATTAAAATCATTCAGGTGCTTTAACAATATCAATTCCCAGGTTGCATCCACAGAGATTTTTAGTCAGCCTGAAGTTGGGCTCAGAAATCAGAATTTGTTTTCAAAGTCTTGTGTAATTTAATGTGCAAGCCAGCTTTGAGAACTGCTCAAGGTAAATACGTATCATTCACATCTGGGATTTTTGTAATAGCCATGGCTATACCGGTGTTATTCAGTCACTTTTCTGTTGGGTTTCTAGGTTTTTCCTGCAATGTAAACAGTACTGTAGTAAACATCCTGGTGCATCCTTACACATTGGTACTTTCTATAGAAAATGCTCAAAAATGTGTTTGTTGTATCAAAGTAGATGTGGATACGTATATCTTAAATATTAGTAGCTCTTCTCAGGTTCCTTTCTTAAAGAAACCTCAGGAACTGTGAAGATCTGTTTCATTGTTTTAAAGTATATATCCTTTGCCCTCAAGACTTTAAAAATTAGTCCTTTTTGGTGGTGACACATGACAGGTCATTCTTAATGTTAAAAACCACAAAAATCTATTAAAAAGATAGAATGTTTAAAGTATATAAAAAGCTTTTGGGAGGGAGTCTTGTATAATTGTTTTGTTTTCCAACAGCAGGTTGAAGGATTCAGAAGACAGCTGTCTCATGACTGGTTGTTTCGTACTTAGGCACCTTCCCCCTTCGTTCCTTTAATAGTATAGGAAAGGCAATATTGAAAGCTCGGCCGCAGCTTGGAGGCTAGGAGACAAGGCATAAATGCTTGCCTCTAGAGCGGTGTGGCCCTTTGCACGCGTAGGTAAAGGGCTGGCTGGAAGGATGTCTTATGAAAGGTATGTTGTAAGAGTTCCACAATTACTTTCTTTTTGTCGGAGAAATTTGCAAGTTGGCATGCTTCTTCTTGCCCCTAAAACCAACCTCCCAGTCCAGTGTTACCCTAATGAAGTATTCATAATGGCAAATGAAAGTGACCTTGTGCCCCAAATGAGTCCAGGGATTGCCCAAAATGACAGTTGTGATATGCCTTTGAAGTTTCCTCTTCTATTTTAAAGGTATATTCAAATTTTACATTCTGTTCAGCAATGTGTTTGTTTTATTATAAAAAATATTTTAAATGATATACCATCAGGAAGAAAAAGTTTAAAGCTTTTTCTCTCAAGTTTGCAAGAAATTAACACTTTCGTACATATTTAAACAGGCATGTAATCTACCAGAGGCCGTTAATGTGAGTGCGCCAGTTTTGAAGCATAGCCTTAATTTATTACTTTTCCTGCAGGTTTATTTTGTGTTTTATATTATACCTTTGGCTATAGCCTTCCTTTGGTGGTCTCTTTGTAGGAGGAGAGGGCAGTGAGAGATCGGAATCTCCTCCAGGTTCAAGACCATGACCAGCCCGTTCCGTGGAAAGTGCAGTTTCACCTGGGGAACAGCAGTCGGCCTGGCAACCAGTGCCGGAACTCCATTCAAGGGAAGCACCTCATCACGGATGAGCTAGGTAGGGCTGGCTCGCCTCTTCTCTGCAGCCATTGAAGGGCTGCCGTGTGAGTCATTACTGGGGTTTTATACAGTGCCATTCCCAGCATTTCACACATCTGTATTTCACACTTTACTTGTCACTCAGGTTCCCCTGTCAGAGAAGTTTGATCTGAGAATTCTGTCTCCAAAGCTCCTTGTACCTGTAATGCACGGTTTCAGCATTTGTTCATGTGCCAGCCCCTAGGCTACTTGCTGCTCATCTCTTCCTGGCCCTAGGATGTTCAGATCTTGCCCAGGTTGTCTTCTCATCTTAGTGGTGAACTCTATAGGGTAGCCAGTGTTCCTCCTTGGTGACCTACATAATCTCCACACAGTTCTGGCACTTAGGGAGTGTGCTTGTTGACTGACTGACCAGGTGATTTCACATGAATGATAAACACGTTCATTTTTCTCTTTACTATTTATTTACTTATTTTTTTAAAGATTTTATTTATTTGAGAGAGAGTGCACAGGCAGAGGGAGGGGGAGAGTGAGAAGCAGACTCCCCACTGAGCAGAGAGCTTGATGTGGGGCTCGATCCCAGGATTCTGGGACCATGACCTGAGCCAAAGGGAGACGCTGAGCCACCCAGGCACCCTATCTACATATTTTAGAGAGCGCATGTAATGAGCTGGGGGCGGGGGGAGGGTGAGAAGCAGACTCCCCACGGAGCATAGAGCCCAACATGGGGCTTGATCCCATGACCCTGAGATCATGACCTGAGCGGAAATCAAGGGTTGGTTGCTTAACTGACTGAGCCACTCAAGCACCTGAATGATGAGCACATTCAAAATGTGTTACTCTTACAGTGAAAACAGCAGCTCCTCTTTCCAGGAGCTTCCCCAGAGTTTTGTTGCCTCATTTTAGTCTGTAAGAAAGGGGATTCCTGTGCTATTGAGGTGGTTGGATTAGCTGATTGTGGTCTCACCACTTGAAGGCTGGCCCTGTCTTTCTGAAGAGGGACTCCCACTAATGCACACGTGAGCTCTCAGTTATGTGCTGGGCACTGGGCTAAAACCTCTCCTTGAGTATCTCGTCTGATTTGTGCAATAGACCTGTAGCGTAGACATTGCTTCTGTCACTTTGTAGGTGAAGGCAGGCACTGAGAGGCTAAGAAACTTGCCTACAATGGCAAGGGCTCTTTTATAAGCCACGATTGCTATTATCACACCAGAAGGGTAACACTTTCCCTTAATGTCAACTATCTGAACAGTCTTCAGAGTTTTCCAATAGTTTTGTAGATTGTTTTTTCTTTTTTCAATTGGTGGTTTGCAAATAATCCAGTTGGCTTGTTTGCTGGAGTAAATTTTGCTGTATTTCGAAGAGTCTCCGCACTTGTGAGCATGGCGGTACTGTAATCGACACAGGGCGACCTCGAATTAGAATATTCAGCTTTGCACAATGACTGAACAAAATGCAGACATGCGGTCCTTAAAATGAAACGAGTGCATTTACTGTTCTTTAAAAAACAACCAACTTTGCATTCCCAGCAAAAAACAAAAACAAAAACAAAAAACAGCTTTCCCAAAAAGATTGCAAAAGCATTAGTCCAGATGAGATTATTTGGAATTGAGGAAAGGGATCAGAGGAAGAACACCCACCTAAGGTAGAAGAACTGGAAAAATTGCACAAAAACACGGTGACAAGGAGCGCTTGGGTGGCTCAGTGGGTTGAACCTCTGCCTTCGGCTCAGGTCATGATCTCAGGGTCCTGGAATGGAGCCCTGCATCGGGCTCTCAGCTCAGTAGGGAGCCTGCTTCCTCCTCTCTCTCTGCCTGCCTCTCTGCCTACTTGTGATCTCTGTCTGTCAAATAAATAAATAAAATCTTAAAAAAAAAAAAAAAAAAACGGCGCAGTGACAAGCCAGCAGTGGTGCCAGTGCCAAACTCTGTCTTTAAGATCATATTGGAAAAGCAAATAATATTGCAAATAGCCTCTTGTTTTGTTTTGTTTTTTAAACAAAGTTTGGCAAAGGAAATTTGCTTCCATAAGATGACACAGCTGGTTAGAGGGCAGACCTAGGGCCAGGACTGAACTTGGGAGTTCAGTCCTTTTTTTCTTAGAGACTGTTCTGTTTCTATAACACCCAGTGAGAAAACATATCTTATGCCTTGACTTTAATAGTTAATATTAGGTTACAAGTGACAGTCATTTTCTTTTGTTGTAGCTAACACAGGAATAATCTTCCTCTGATTAATTCAAGTGAGACCAAGACTTAGACTTCTTAAGCAAAATGTTCTAAAAATCGACTAATAAAAATCCTAGAGCCATAGGTTGTATTGTACCTCCATGACTGTGGGAAGAAAGAAACAATTTCATAAAGAAAACTTGCAGGAATTTATGCTTTTTAGCAAGCAGATGCTACCATGAATATTGCCAGGGTAACAGTTAGAATGACGCTTTCCACGTTTAGGAGTTAATTTCCCAGTGAGTCGTGACATACTCTGAGGTTGTGATCTTACTGGACTCCTTGTTGGAAATGACATTGGCATGAGTAGATTTACAAGGTAGAAGGAGAAATCTTGAGCTCTCTTTCACCAAAAATCAGAAGGCCCTGTGGTTTCAAGGCTGAATACTGGCAGTTAACACTGGGGTGTGGAAGGACTGGGGGGCAGGGTGCACGTAAAAGGCGGCCAGTACAGCTGATACTTACAGTTTGAAAGAGAAGAGGGCAGAAAGATAATTTCAACAAGTAGAGTTTAGGATATGTTCTATTTTACGTCTTCCTGACAGGAGATAAGATTTCATTGTTGTTAGTTTTGGCCAAATTTTGAGAAACATGCTGACTTCTTTGGATTTTTGTTGGTTTATTTATAATCCCTGTGAAGAAAATGAGTAAGAATAGTTAAAAAGAATCCCAGAAACACATATTACAGCATTTGAGTCGTCCTCCCTTAATTTAGAAGACAAAATGTAGTTAAAACAACACAAAGCACCCAGTTCTTCGGTAACTGGGGTCTGGTTCTTTCCAGGACCCGGGTTTCCAGGTGTTAGTGAGGTCCTTCTGAGTCTCTTCCATTGTTATTTTAGTGGTGCCCCCTGGTTTTGCACAGACTTTGTTTTTCAGAGTAGTTTCTGAAAACAACCTTATACTTCACCAGGTCTCATTCTCTGAGGATTAAGAAGCTGGGGCATTTGGAATGGAATGATGCTGGCAACAGCTGCTCTGCACCTGTGGGCCCGAGTAGAGACCTTTGGGCCCGTGCATGCACTTGGGAGTCTCCCAAGAGCCATGTGGTGTCCCTCATGCATTTATTTTTACATTTTTCTGTCCCACTCCTAGAAGGTTATAGAGAAATGTCTATTTAGCAGCTCTGAGCAATCAGTTTTTACAAAGAGAGTCCTTTCCTTCAAGTTGAGTATGGGTTTGGCTGGGTTGGAGACAGTGTGTTTACAGATGACGGAATTTATGAGCAGAGGGAATTAGGGTTTTTGTCCCTTGGGTATTAGAGAGCTTGCATTCCTGGATTCTGAGGGGTAGTTGAATCTGGGCCTGTATACTTACAGACAGCCTAAATCAACTTACGAAGGTTCATTGTGACTACTTTTTCAAAAATCCTCCAAATCACTAAATAAATGCACGCATTTAAAAGATGTCTGTAAAGATTGGGGGGTTGGTTGGTTGGTTTTTAAATCTAGATGGATCTCACTTTCAGGAATGAATGCCTTGGTTTTTTCTATTTTCTTTCTCTTTCTCTTCTTTTTTTTTTTTTTTTTTTTTTGAGAACAATGCCAGTTTTCTTCAGTTACAGGTGAAGGAGTGGCTTGCATTGGTTAGGTATGACTTGACATGGGGATTAAATCAGACATGTGCCAACAGACCAGAAGGTTATTTTAGGTAGATTAGAACACAAAACCTGCTCACCGCACAGCAGCCCGTGTTGCCTGTCCACGACGACCCGCAGAGAGCAAGCCCCGATCCCTCGTGTTGGAATCCTGGCCCTCTGGTGCTTGGCGCGCTCCACACACCACGTCCTGGCTCTGTGTGCTTTTCGTGTGCACTTTCATTGCTGCTGCGTGGTCACCCCGGGAGAGGGATGGGAGGCCTGCCGGCTTTCTACTCAGGTGAGTCTCTGACTTCCAGGGTACATTTGTGAAAGGAAGGATTTGCTGGTGAACGGCTGCTGTAATGTCAACGTCCCTGGCACAAAGCAGTACCGCTGTGACGGCTGCTTGCCCCACGGCTGCTGCGGCGCCTACGAGTACTGCGTGTCCTGCTGCCTGCAGCCCAGCAAGGTACGGACGGTTGCCGCCGTCTCCATGCCCTTTCTCTATGCCCTTCCTGGATGCTGAGCGTTGGAGTCTCCGCGCGAGAGTCTCTGGAAGGTAGGGCTGAGACGGGAACCGTGTAGATGGCAGAAACTGCTCCTGTGAAGTAGTGCCCTTGAGGAAGGGAGTGGTTCCCACTGACTTGGGTGGCTCGTTTGCACGTGGTCCCCTGTGTCCCTCATCAGGGCTCACGGAGAGGGGATCAGGCTTGTGCTCATTTGAGCTTGCTGTGTCCCCCTCTCGACCCCCGCTTCCACATCAGCAGTCTCTTAGTTGAGGAGAAATATCCAAGGTTACCTTGTGCTGCTGAGTCTGGAATTTATTACAGGTACTAACTTTTGTTTCCATAGCAACTTCTCCTGGAGCGCTTCCTCAACCGGGCAGCCGTGGCATTCCAGAACCTCTTCATGGCCGTCGAAGATCACTTTGAATTGTGTCTGGCCAAATGTAGGACCTCATCCCAGGTCAGAAGCGGTGATGTTGCTCGCTGGGGGATGGGTGGGAGTCAGTTGAAAATAGGCAGTGGGGGCCTCTTGGTGGGGTAATAACGTTGAAGAGATTTAAGCGAAGCCGCGTCAAGCTTTGTTTCGTGGATGGTATTTAGAATGTCAACATTGGATTTGTAGATGCTAGAGAAGTAAAATATTTATGTGAAATCAAGGTCTAATCAGCTTGCATCTCCCTTATCTGATTGGCATGTCCGCACTTCAAGTGGAAGCTGTAGTTATTTCTGAGTCTGGGTGGAGCCCTAATAGTCCAGTTCCTGAATGCAGTTCTCTGCCCTACGTCTCTGACTGAAATGTGGCTAAGGCTTTCCAGCAACCACTTGTTAAGAGGAAGCAGTCATTTGTTCTGGGATGGAGTTGTAGTTTATTTTAGGATTCGAGGGGATGGGGCAGGTGGGCATTTAAAAATGCAGGAATAAACCTGTGGGTGGTCAAGCTCTTAGTGCTCACTAGCGTGCTGTCCGTGTAAGTGCTCTGTTCTTTGGGCACTCAGCTCTGGCCCTGGCCCTGGGGTGTCTGCACGTCTTTGCCTTCGCATCACTGCGCCCTTGCCTCGCTGCTTCTGGGTTTGGGCGGTTGTCGGGGCTCTCGGTGTGAGATTGCCAGCCGTGTGGGGTGTACCCGCATGCTGCTTCTGGCTTCCGTTTGTGGAGTGTCCAACACTGTACTGGCTTCGTCTTCAGATCGTCATTCTCTGTGACTCTTGTACCCTTTGCCAGGGTTCTGGAGACTGCCTTTTGATTTTATGCCGCATTGTGTGTCTCTGGTCTGGGATCGCTGGGTAAATATTTCAGGGATTATAAGGAGCATTTGAAAACATGAAGAAATTCCTGATGGGCTTGTTTTGCTTTAAGAGTTTCCACTTGAATGAGCTTTAAAGGAAATATGGAGGAAGGCTGAACACATGACTCATTTTGAATCAGATTCTCTCTCATTCGGAGAAATGCTAGAGAAGGTGGAATTTTTTTTTTCCTTAACTGATAAAACCCAGATGCTAATATCCAGTCTTGAGGGAAGATGCTGACCTTTCTCACTTGATCTTTTTATTGTAAAGAGAGAGGTCTCACTTGCCTGTTTATCTTCATTACGGTATCCTCAAAAAAGAGATGTGCTGCATGTCTATAAATTGGATTAATGCTTATGATTTAGATGTTAAGCATTGGTCTTGGGCTAATTAATGAACTCCAGACTAGCTAAAAACTCAAGTTGCCTTTATGAAAACAAATTGCTGAAAAATTAGCCATCAGGGATGATTGTGTTAAATCCCATTTTCCGTTTATTTAACCAACTGAGGCTTGTGTGGTATTGTGGGATTTGGCTTGTGTGCCAGACCTGGAGGTACATAAAACTTCAGGAAAGCGCCTGGATATGGCATCTCCTTCGTGATTGCAGGGTTCAGTACCAGGAACTGAATTTCCTTAGAGCACAGACATCAGGAGCAAAACATCAGCTGGATCTTAATCTAACGTAACATCATCTGAGAAAAAAATAGTTGTCTTGAGTTGCCCAGGGTGTAGCTAGGTTGTTTTAAAAACCAGGCAAACAAAACTCACTGTAGACGTAGAAAGAAATAGGCACGCAGTGATGTTCTGTCCATCTTCACACTCTCGTTGGCATTCTGTGTTAAGCATGCGCCTCTGTTTCATAGCAGTGCCTGGACTCTTCTGGTGGTATTTAGAGAATGTCTTGTGCAGGCTCCTGGCAGAGCAGTCCCGCTCCGGCCGCCACTGTCCTGCGAGGGAAGTGTGTGAGACTCTGCTCTCTCTCACCGCGCTCTTATCTTCCCTTCTGCCAACAGAGCGTGCAGCACGAGAACACCTATAGGGACCCCATAGCCAAATACTGCTATGGGGAGAGCCCTCCCGAGCTCTTCCCTGCGTGACGGGCACGGAAGGCAAACCAGGCACCACCGGAGAGCTTGTGGCCTGAAGCCACCCTCCAGCGTTCTCTAGTCCACTTGGAAGAAGAGAGGCATCGCGCCGGAGCCTTGGTGTTGACCACTTCTTATGTTGTACTCTGTGGCCTTGCTCTCCGCTGGGCTTTACCCCATGGGACGGTTCTGTAAAGCAGCTTGGAAACAACAACGGGTCACGTTCAACAACAAACTGCAGGCGAGCTTGCAGAGCTGTTGGCGCTCTGGGGCACCTCTCCCATGGCAGACTCATCAAACCCTTCCCTGTAAAGTTATTTATTGGATTCCTTCGGAGTAGCGGGAAAGTGGTCATGTTTTATATAGGAAGATGCCTTGCCCTGATAGTTGAATATATTCAAGGAAATTGTTGTTGTTGTTGTTGTCTTGTATTCTTGAGTTTTATGAGTTAAGTCATCCTTCACCTGGATAAAATGTTTAGCCTCTTTGAACGTGTGTGTTCTCTCAAGGTAGTTATTTGGGTTTTGTTTCAACAGCACCTTCAGGAGTGGGCCCTGGACACTGTATCCTGACATCTAAATTTGTCACCAGCTCAGAGCTACTCTTCCCCATACCGGCTTCCCTGCGGGCGCCCTCAACTTTTCCCGTAGTGGCATTTGAATCTGCTCACATACCTGTGCGTGAGCACCGTTTGAACCAGAAATTCCAGCTCACTGTTGTGCAGGATGTTGTTCTGATGTCCCGCGCCACTCTCGCCGTCATCGCAGGCTGCTCAGCTGTGTGTGGTACGCTGGGAGCTTCAGGAACACCACCGGCGGCCCTCTCTTCTCTCCTGTCATGGAAAACTGGTGTTAAGGGGATTCCTAGGGGAAGATACATCTAGAAGCTGGCTGTAAACAGTCATCCTTCATCGCTTTCAGCTTCGGGACATGTAACAGGTTCAGACCTTCAGTTTCCTGATGATTTGCAAAGAAGAAGAAAACCCAGGTTTCTGTCAAGGTGCTGTGCGAGAGTTACTGCTGCCTCAGTGGGGCGAGTCTGTGAAGGCCGGGCATGCTGGTTGCTGGTCCACGTGCTCGAGGCGCCCCTCTGGGTTTCTAGTATGACACTGAATCTTGCGGGCTCGAGGTCCAGAGTATTTGGTCCCCCTCTCAAGACACCCTGCCCCTCAAAGAGTATGGCTCTTTGCTCTCAGGAGACCTGGGCACGTAACTCTTTCCTGGAGCGAGCCTCTCGATAACCCCCGGGATTGGGCAACGTCTTTTTCCTTTTTTGATTGTTTAAGCTGTTGACCTTGGAGCAGGGCAGTAGTTTTCCAATCCACTTTTGACGTTTTTTTTCAGCAGGGTTCTTTCTTTGGACCGTGTTTGCCTTCCATTATGTTTCTGCAGTATGGAGCAGTAATTCCCCTTAACTTTCTCCTGTTAGTTCTTCTACATCTCTTCCCAAAGTGGTGTGTCACTCTAAATAAGCTTTCTCTGAGAGCTGTCTGGTGATTATTTTTTAATGTTTTTCCCCCCAACATCTATTTAGTTTGCATCGGACTTTTTGGATTCTAGGTGCATTCATGGTGCTAAATCAAACTTTGTATGTGAAAGAAATGTGCATGTCTGGATGTTTTACCATCTCATTCTTTTTGGTAACTCAGTCTGGTGTATGTCTGTCTCATGTGGGTTGTCCCTGTTATCAGCCTCTTCTTGGAACTCATTTAACTTTTGAACAGTGTAAAAGAGACTTAATGTGAAAATGGCTTTATATCAAAGTAACTCCTGCCTCTTTACTTCATACTTGAATTATTGACGAGCATGTTCTGCATTTTCAGTGCTTTCACAAATAGTATCTACCGTTGAGTTAAGCTTACCTTTATTCCCACGTTGTAGATGAGGAAGTAGTGGGAAGTGAAGTGACTTCCCAGAGTCCCCACTGAGATTTAACAACAGAACCAAAGCAAGAACTTCATCTCCGGCTTCAGGTCTGCTGTCCTTTCCCACTGCCTCTCACCAGCCCCACTGCTGACTCCAACGTGATCGTCCAACTGCTCCCCCCTCACCCTGCCCCATACCGAGGCCATATGGATTTCAGTTGTCCAGGCCAAAAGAGAGGAGAGGTGGCATCAATAGCCAAATTGGGTCGGTAATTCAAAGGTCATTTTCATTTGGCTCTGGAATATGTTTGTGTTTGTGGTTTTTGTTTTGTTTTTGTTGTTGTTTTTTACTTAAGTCTGTTTAGAGGCATGTTCACTGTTTCTGGAAACTCGCAATGCTGCAGACTATACAATAAAGCCACTGACGGACCTGGACCATCGCTCGGCCTCCCCAGCCTTCCAGCCCAGAACCCCTCCCTGCTCTGCACTCTCTGGGTTTCTGGTTTCCTCAACTGAGTGTTTCTAGAATTAGGGACCTTGTGTTGTTTTTGCGTGCCCAGAGTTTAGCAGAATGTGTGATAAATGTTGGGATTTTAGGGAAAAATCAAAGAAGAGACCAAAGGAAAAAGTTAAATACTGAGTGGGACCAAAGGTAAGAGGGTAGTTCAAAGCATTTCCCCCAATTCTGAATCTTAATTGCCTTGCTTGTGGCTGCAGTGGTAAAGATCTGTCCTAACAGGGAAAGAAACAGCAGAGTATATGCAAGAGGTATTAGATGGGCAGGTACACGGGAGCGGGGACATGCCTCCACTGGGCCTGGGACTCAGGGTGGCCCTAGACCTGGTGATATGGGACTGTCGTGGAAGGGCAAGCTTGGCAGCTCGTGGAAAGTGGGGGATAGGATTTTAGAGCAGGGTTTTCAGCTGTCAGTGTGCTCCTGAAAGCCAACTCAGGGCCTCTGGGAAGTGCCTCAGTTGGTATGTCTGCAAAGGAGCTATGGGGACAGGGAGCACAGTCTGCAAAACTCCCAAGCAAAACTTTTCCCATCTTTGAGATTTTCAGATAAATTGGAAACATGCAGAGATGTTGCTTATTTGGCCTTGGTTATTCCTTCGAAGGCAGCAGAGAATTCTGACTCAGTGTGAGTCACTACTTTCGAACAGCGTGGCTTTGGGCAGTCTTCTCTTCTGAGTGCCAGGCCCTTCATCTGTAAAGTGGGATCACATGGGTTGTGAGGTGTCCACAGGAGTGAAGCCCCGTGCTCAGCACAAGGTCTGGGGTCTGCAGCCCAGTGGGGGAGCAGTGTCAGGTAGTGACAACACCGGGGTTAGTGGGTCACTCACCTGGAAGGGTGGCAAATACAAAACTTAGTATTATTTTTATGACTGTTTTTTAAAGAACTCATGCTAAAGGTGAAAAATTTCAGATAATTCAGGAATATGTAAAGATGAAAGTAATAATAACCTAAAGTCCCACAACTCAAAGATCAGGCCTGTATTTTTCTCTTTCCTCATGACTTTCCAGGCAGAAAGGAGAGCACTTTTTCCTCTTGAAAACAATCCTGTAATGGACATCCTTCTATGTTACATATAGGCAGATGATAATTTTAATGACCACATTAAAATGTCAGATTTCATGGATTACAATACTGTTATTAATCCCCTGCTGAGGACACTTTGCTTATTTCCTTTTTTTTTTTTTTTTTAACCAAGCATGGCTCTATATTTATCTGATAACTGTTTTCACCAGAGTGTGGAAGTGTCTTTTGCCATGCCCCCTGAGAACTTGCACACCATCTTTTGTTAACTCTGCCGATGGATCTCCGCGTTTTCATTTGTGTTTATTTAATTGCTGTGAGCTGAACTCTTCCATGTTCCGATTGGCCATTTATCATTCAGATTCTTGGCCAAACTCTCTTTTTTTTCTTAGCGTCTTTAAAACGTTACTCCAAAGCAAGTAGCTTATATGTGAACAAACTGACTTTTCCAGTTGACCTAGAGCATTGGAAGGGGGCAGTTTTGTCCCCAGGAGACCTTCGGCAATGTCCAGAGACATTTTTGTCACAACTGGAGGAGGGTGGCGCATCTTGTGGGCTGAGGCCAGGGACATTGCTAAACATCCTTCGGTGCACAGGGCAGCCCTCACGACAGGATGACCTGGCTCCAGATCGTCAGCAGGGCCCAGGTGGAGGCCCGGGCCTTGGGTCGCATTTCCCCTGAGCAGTCCCCCGAGCTGACTTTATTATTTCCCTACCCTTGCTTTCAGCCGCGCAGGAGGGCTGCTGATTCAATTATCCTGCAGTCCCTGGGGACCTGCTACTTCCTCGCAGGTCTCTCTCAGCCCAGTGCTGCCTCCAGGAATGGCATTATTACTCTGCCACACTGTCCTTAGCACACTAACGTGATCCCAGAGCAGACGCCCTCCCGGCTGCAGAATGACCTGAAGTTTACCAACAGCCTCTTCCCCCTCCCCCTCCCCCTCCCCTCAATGACAGGTTTGCTCTTGTGGTGTCTGCTGCCCCAGCAGCAGCTCTCTGCGTGGAGTGAGTCTGGGGGAGAGAGAGATGGGAAATGACTGCTATCAAAAGGTGCCACACTAGTATATAATAGTAATTTTTTAAAAAAGAGAAGCCAGTGGATTATGAGAGTTCTTTCCTACGCAAGTGCTTTCCTGACTGTGCCTTGTTCCTGTCTTGAATTCCAGGCCCTTCTGTGTGGTTTCGTCTTGGATAGGGTGTTATCAGGCTGTGGGTACGGCTTTGGGTGCTGCTGTCCCTGGTCTTGGTCAGTCACGCATCTGCCAGCTTCCTCTGCAGTCCGTTTTCACAGACAGAAAGAGGAACCAGGGGCCCTGGCAGTGTCCTGGGAGTGGGGACAGCTCCTGTCCCAGTGGGACCTCTTCAGTTATGTTGTACATACAGCTCAATTCGTGTCTGATAAGAGCTGAACTGCTGGGTGTTCTAAAAATGAGAGGACAGCCTTTAATATTATAATAAACAAAACAACTGCCTGGTTACAGCCAAAAGACAAAGCAGGGAATTAAATACTTGAGCAGGTGTCCGGTTTTCTTGTTTTTCAGAACTGCTTTACCGGACCGAGAGGGACCAGAACACAGGACTGCTAGAAATGCATTGTTTATGAACGGGCACTTTCAAAGCTGTTGATAGGGTTAATAGTCCCTTGGTCTTTGGACTTCTTTCTTTGTTTTTATTTAAATTCAATTGGCCAACATATAGTTGACTAATCATTAGTTTCGTGTTCTGTAATTCATCAGTTATGTATAACACCCAGTGCTCATCACATCACATACCCTCTTTAATGCCCCTCACCCAGTTACCCCATCCCCCCACCCACATCCTTCATTCATTCATTTTTTTATGCAGGGTACAGTAGGCCAGCTCCGGCCAGCTTGCATCCAGGTTGTCACAAAGAAGTGGTGTTGGCTAAATGAGAGAAGGTAGTGTTGACGCTCAGTGAAATTCTAGATTTCAGACTCTTGGCCACACGTCCTTGTTACTAAGGGTGTGCGTGTGAGCCTAACAGCAGCGGCACGAGGCAGCTGAGGAGCCTTCTAATGAACAAGAGCACAGGCACGCGTGGCCTCGAGTAAAGTCCCCTCTCCCGGCTT